ATTTTGCGAGGAAGCAAAAGGCATACAAGAAGCTGGAGGAAATGTTGACACAAGTGCTCCGATTGCATCCTACAAAGCCCGATTTATGGATCCATGCCGCCCAATATGCGTTGGAAGAGAACGGTGACATTACTGAAGCGAGAAGTTACATGCAACGTGGTCTTCGATTTTGCAAAGGGTCAAGAGCCATGTGGTTGGAATATGCGAGACTAGAAATGTCTTACATCACAAAGATTCACCTCCGTCGAGAACTCCTTGGAATCACCATCCGCAAATCCGATCAACCACGACACGCAAAGGGAAGAGATGACGATGAGGATCTTCTGCGGCTGCCGAGACTAACGGCTCTGGATGTCGGCCTGAACGCTGAAGACGAGGTCGCCACCTCTGCGCTACAGAATCTGGAATCGACGCCTGCGATGAGTGGCGCCATTCCCGTTGCAATTTTCGACGCTGGTATGGCCCAGTTCCTCGACCCAAAGTTTGGCTTGGACTTTTTCAAGATGCTTCTAGACTACGATGACACTCCAACCTGTCGCAAGATTGCGGATCATGTGGCGGTACTCTTGATGAGGGAGTATCCACAGAGTTGGTGCAGCCAGGCATGCCACATACAGCTACCACTTGTCTCAATACCTCACTCTTCTCCCACCTTTCCACCCGCTCTCAGAGATATGCTGGCACGACTGAAGGATGCTCGCAAGAAGACCAACAGCCTTGAGTTGATCGCCTGGGTTAAAGGATTGCTTGAGGAGCTTGCTCAGACTTCCGATCTGGACCCAGCGATCAGGACAGTGGCGGACTCGGTTGTGAAATCCTTGGTCGCCTTTGAGTCGACTTAGTCAATCCATGTCTCCCTTTGACCTTGACTGCTTTTTGCTTGATTGTAATTTCTTCCTCCTCAATCTGGCCTCGTTTTCTGTCTTCTGAAGCTTTTTGACCCTTTCCTTCTGTTCGTCTGTTGTCTCCCCAGGGACGGTGTTCTTATACACATCCTCTATCAGTTCGTTGAGCTTCCTGAAGCAGGTGTCCTTGTTGGCTTGTGCCTTTCGGCTTTCATCTGCTTGAATCACCAAACTCGACGACTTCTCCGCGTAATATCGAGAGGACAAGATGCCTCGATGTAGAACGACAGGGATTAGGGGGAGGAGACGATCAACGGAGACGCGAAGCTGAGCCTTCGAGTTAACTCTGTCGTGCCCAAGTCAGAGTCACCCGTCGACCAGATACCAAAGATGATCGTACTTATTGACATTCTGGCCGCCAGGACCGCTGGACCGGGCGTAAGTCACCTCTCCAACATCCCGTAAAGGCTGTCGTGTGTTGTGACTCCTGTACCATTCCCTGGCGGCCGCAAAGTCGAGTTCTGAGCTCGCAGACTTTGCGGAGTAGAATCTCCAGAGAGGAAACGGGTCACAGAGGGCCCTCGTTGACCATGGGGAACACATCAAGACATATTCTACACAGCTGGCTAGCTTGCTAACAGCTTGCTAACGGCAGCTGCAAAGGCTCTGGAAGCGATTGCCAGCCTCATCCTTCCATGATCTTCTATGGCAGGTTAGCCGGAAGAGCCAACTACATGTGGAATGGTTGACTTGCCGAAGCGAAAATACAAGCAGGGCAACTGCGCCTCTTCTACTATTATCGCCTTGCGACTCTTATTTCTGCGCGCTGCCGTTCCAACGCAGTAATGAGCAACTTCGCATCAGTTCCGTCAAACTTCTGGTCGCTGAATCCATCATCATCATCATCATCATCATCATCAAGCTCACTTTTCACTTTCCTGTTTCTCCTTGTCTCCTGTTGACGCGCTGATGTCGCCGGACTGCATTTGACTTGGCCATTTCTTCAGCCTTTCCCCCGCGTCAACAGCCTAATCAGGCAGCTCTCTCCTTCACCTTGCCCTGAACATGACTTGCACCGCCTTCGCCGCCTCAAGATGACTGATGCAGACCCTCCGCCAGAGGCCCAACGCTTTGGTAGATCTCAAACGCCCGAGTCCCCTCGCCCAGTCCATATCCCTGAACCTTCGACGATCCCGGTACTGCTGAACCAGATGGACCCGGTCTTCAATGACACCGAGACCTATAATATTCCTCATAATCAAACTTTCTCTCCTTACTCGGACTCTGCTCGCGCTATGAATGAGAATGATCCAAACGATCCAAACTCGGAAGAGCAAGACGTTGTTCAAAACTTTCTGAGAGGCGCCGAGGAGGAAAACACTCGTCTCGATGAGCCTGCTCATTTCCCCTCCACAAACGGCCCGGTGGTCCAGAATGATGCCAACATGGAATCCAATCTTTTCTCAGCTCTTGCCAACGCTTCTGCGTATCCACAGTCGTCTGAAGCCCATGCCAATCCACCTCCAGGTGCTGCCGGCCAGATCCAAGACCCTGCGCAAACGAGCAATGATACTTCGCCAGCCACTGATCCCACTGCCAATCTTGATACTGGCAATGCTGCACTACAAGCCGTTGGAGAAAGTGCGTCTGAGCCAGAACCTGCCGTAAAGCCCAGCTTTCAGTCAAATGAAGAGGGAGTAGACTATCAGTCGCTTCTGGATACCATTTCTAAATCTGCTTCTACTGCTCCTGCTGCAGACCCTGTGTCTGCTCCAACTACTGCCACCTCGCTTGCCAACCAAGGATCCCAATCATTGCTTCCCATTCCAGGTTTACCCCCCAAGCCACCGACTCAAGCTCAAACTTCAGATTCTGTCGCTGTTCACACGCTTCCTAACCCCAGCAACGATCAATTGGGGCAATATCAGCAAGTGAGTCCAGACCACGCCAGTGCCAATGGCATCGATCAACTTAAACTTGCGTCTGCGCAGTTCCAACCTCAATCCATTCCTTTGCAAGCGCCCGGTACATGGCCGCATTCTGCCAATCAAGCATCACCTACAAGCACTGAACATACCTCTCCCGCCCAGTCTCTCCAGGCCCCCGAACCAGGAAGAGCGTTTGACCCGAATGAACGTCCGTGGACCCCGAGAACACAAGCGCTTTATGACTCATTTCTTGAAGATGAACGGAGATATGTGACGGAAGGGATTTGGGACAAATTTCCCCAGGGATCACGTCTCTTTGTGGGTAATTTGCCTAGTGAAAAGGTCACCAAGCGTGATATCTTTCAAATTTTCCACAAACACGGCAGACTTGCTCAGATCTCCATCAAGCAAGCATACGGATTCGTTCAGTATCTTGAGGCATCCTCATGTCAAGCAGCGCTTCAGGCCGAACAAGGCGTTGAGATTAGAGGAAGGAAGATTCACCTCGAGATATCGAAGCCTCAGAAGAACACAAGAAGTCAACAAGGCCAGCAAGGAAGCAAAAGACGGCGCTCTCGATCCCCAGACCGCAGTCATGGCCGTCAGGCTGACCGATTTGGCCGTCCTAACTATAGTGATTTCCGAGATGAGCGAGGAAGGCGCGAGGAGTATCGACGAACCCCTTCGCCTCGAGGTTATCGGTCCAGAGACGACTACCGGCCACCCACTCAAAGCCCTCGCTATGGCGCTGGTGCGAGACCAGTTTCGCCTTTCACTAGCAACTTCTCAAATCCACCCTCGGCGGGTTACGATGAGGAGGCCGCCCTCCCCTTGCCTCGAAGAGACCCACGAGACGTACCGGACGTACAACTTCTCATTCTGGAACCTTCAGTGGCTCCGAGCTTCATGAACTGGATCGAACAAGGCTTCCGTAACAAAGGATTGCGGGCTTCGACAATATGGCTCAGCCCTCGGCTACCCCTCAACGCTGTTGTGAAACGGCAAATCATTGAAGGTGTGCAAGCTGTTGTGAAACTGACACAGGCCAATCAGTACAATAGCAAGATACCCTTGCAGGTTTTTGATAGGAGTCAGGGCACGTCGAATGTCAACTTTAACGAATACGTTGATCTCGATGTGCCCGTTGCCGCTGATATTGTCCTCCATGCGCGACAAAAGGAGCGAGGAGGCGCACAGCAAAGTCCACAATCCTATCAGCCACAAGGTTATCCCCAATATGGATACGGTCCGCCGCCACCACAATACGCGCCAGCACCTTACCCTCAACATCAGCAGCAGCAACAACACAATCAGTTCCAGTACGGCCAGAATTCCCAGTACCAGAACCCAGCACAAACATCTGTGAGTCCCACTTCTGCCACAAGTGCTCCAAATCTGCAGCAATTACTGGCGAATCTTCGGCAGCCTGGTGATGGGCAGCCAGACAGCGCTACGTCAAATGGCAAACCGACGCCAGATCTGGCAGGTCTTCTGAGCAACGTCGCCCGCCAACAGCATGGCCACGGAGGAGTACAATTCCAGTCGCCACATGGCCCTCCGCCTCAGCCACAGCAGCCACAGCAGCAAGGTTATGTGCCTGGCACACCGTCTTACGGAACTGGACCACATTCACAGCAGAATGTACAGAACATTATGGAGACCTTAGCGAGGTACAATAGATGACAAATCAGCTGTTTTGTTGGGACGAACCAGTACTCGAGTTGTTGAGCAATGTTAGACTCTGAGACATGAGTAGGAGCTTCGTTTCGAAACTTGAAGGGTAGATTGGGGAACGTAAGGGTGGGCAAATCAAGATGTGTGCGGTGGGGGTTTTGTAGAGCTAGGACAGCGGAGGTGTTCGCAGAACGAGTCATTACGTGCCGGCCATTACCAAAAGAACATTTGCGTAGGTATTGACTTGACAGAAATAGATCATGTTTCGACATTTTAATTACAATAGTGTGTTACTAGATGGGGACTGGATCCCGAGGAGTAGGCGAGCTAGGTTAGCCTCGCAGCCTCGCCTATCTTTGTTGGAGTATGCACATCGCGGGAAAACTGCTCCCCGCATATCGGGAATACTCCGATACCGCGGCACATGCAAGTTGACTTACCGGCCGGTTTCCAGTGCGCTTGTTCAACAACTACTCCAAACTCCCTACATTCTTCCTACAATTCTACCTCTATTCCTTTTTTCCTCCCTCTGTGCCCAGTCAGTCTCTAGAAAATGTCCAAGACAACCCCCAACCCTGTGGCATCAACCTACGGGTCCCCTCCCGCAGCGACTGGCGGGTCCACCGCCCACTCGATTCCTCACCCAGAACCCATATCCGCCTGCACACACCATATCGCAGGGATTCTAGCGACAGTCTTCGGCCTAGATGAGGTCCCCTCAGGCGTTGCCGACATTGCTGTCCTCTGGCTGCTGCATCCTCGCCTTCAAACACAAGCGTGTATGGCTCCGTTCGCTGCCCATATCATCTCTGAGTGGAACAAGCACCAGGCGAAGTCACGGACCGGGTCAGTCAAAAAGAAGGGATTGATTGCTGTTTCATTTGACCAACGTAACCATGGCTCTCGCCTTGTGTCTGCGATCGCAAATGAAGCCTGGCGGTCCGGAAACGAACACCACGCACAGGATATGTTCAGCTGCTATGCCGGGACGGCCCAAGACACGTCGCTCCTGCTGGACTATCTCCCGGGGTACATCTTCTCTGGGACAAACGACCCAAGAAGGATTGTGCAGAACCTTGTTCTGGGTATTAGTCTAGGTGGACACGCGGCATGGCATGTTCTCATGCACGACCCACGGATTTCTGCCGCCATCGTCACCATAGGTTGCCCAGATTACACGCGCCTTATGACGGATCGAGCACGGTTGTCAAAGCGCAAGACATACACATCCTCTTCCCCGCCTGGAAGGGATTTCCTTGGGTCCGCAGATTTTCCGCCGAGTCTGGTGGAGGCAGTAAAGAAGTCTGATCCCGCGGGCTCGATTTGGTCAATGCCCGGATTACACTGGCGCAAAGACCAAGAACGATTACATACGGACTTGACGGATGAAGAGAAGGCGGTCTTGCTGCCGGTGATGACGAGGTGTTTTGGAAACAAGCGCCTGTTAAACCTCTCTGGCGGCGCGGATAAATTGGTGCCATATGCACATTCAAAACCGTTTATAGACTGGCTCAAGGCAGTCAGCGGGAAGGGAGGATGGTTCGAGGGCAGTGGGTTTATGCTAGAAGACATCGTTTTCGAAGGGGTAGGACATGACGTGCCGAGTAGTATGGTGCCGAACATGGTGCGGTTTGTGAGGGAGACACTGGAGGATGAGGGCGTAGCCGCAATGGAAATGGGTGGAGGAGCAGGCAGGCTAGGCAGTAAAATATGATATAGAACGGGTTCATTGTTAGGGACTGCACGTATAGAATGTCATTTTGTCAAGAAGCCGGGGTAATTGGAGTACACTCATGGCAAGGCTGAGCAACGGGGACTGGAATGGACAATTGATATGTGAATTGCCCACTTTCGACGAGATTATTTTTTGTCATCTTGCCCTCACGCCATTTATAGTGTCTTCATAATCCCGATAGTTCTTGAATCAACATTGTCATCAATCCAGTTATTACTGCACCAAACATGCGAGTATCTCGTTGGCTTGCGTGCTTTCCTGTTCTTTACCAAGACGACCTGTATTGGTGAGACACATTGGCATTGATCGATAAATTATACAACACCCAGCCCGCAACTATCCCGTTACCAAGCCGGTTTGTTTCGTCGGGGACGACAAAAGTAACATTTTCCCTCAACGCCCTGTTCAGGGAGCTCGGATGCCGTCAAGCCCGGCGTCAAATCCGAGCCTGCGCTGAATTTCCCCTTCCAGCTCAGAAGAGAGTCGCAGCTGCCATTTGGCTTGAGCCCATCAGCGGGATCAGATTCATCGAGCTCCCACAAAACCCGTTCCAGACCCTAGCAAAGTCACATGTTCTGGACCGGAGTCCCAGCCGTCCTCGTTGAAGGGGTGTGGGAACGACAGCTTGCCTTCGGTTCTTCCTCGACGCCGCGTGCCGGCTGGATTCAGTCGCCGGCAAGAGTCGAGACTGAAAATCTCCAGTGGACTGGTCAAACTCAGCAGCTCGTCTGAAACCTAGACATTGGCCCCCGAAGAGCATGTCATTTCTGACCATACCATCTCACTTGTAGGATTCATGGAGGCAACATTTTGGTCCGTTGAAGGAGGACGGGCGCAAGTTGATGGCACTCGTCTGCCATCTTCCGTCTCATCTCAGTCGAATGGAGCCCTTGATGCGAGTCCAGACGGATATGAACCATGATCTTCCCGGCGCTTCATCCAGCTCTCTGACCAAATCATCATAGTGTGAAGTGTTGCTCTTAGGATGGCGGACTAATTGGGGTATAGGGTATTCGTTCGAGAATCGATTTTCAAGCAGCGCGTAGAGAGCATTAACTTGTCGCATTTCCCTTTGCTCATTGAATGGCTCGACGGGTGTCGCGACGGCATTGTTGGACTTGACTGCGGCAGCAGCAGACGCAGGTGATTGGAGCTTTTGCAGACGGGATTGCATGACCTTTTGGAAATGGACATGAGCCGGGCGGATGCGGTCGAGGGGCCATTGATTGATGATGCGCACCCAGTGCTTGAAAACGGCCTGGACAGAGGTGAGCTGGGGGGGGGGGGATTGAGGACCTTCCACCAGCAAAGACTTACTGATTGATGAGCTGTCATGGTGAGGCTTTGAAACGGAGGGCGGATTGGCAGTGGTCAGAGCTACTAGGTTACCTGACAAGTTCATTAGCAATCCATCGATGACGCTTCTTGGAGTTTGGAGAGCCTGTACGAGGTAATCAAAGGCCATTCCAGAAAAGGGGATGGTGGTGGCGGATGCCCTTCGATCCTGTGTCTGGCCACTGCACTTGGAGGTCACTACAAGTACAAGTACCAAGTGAATGCCTGCGCGGGTCTGAGCGGTGCGCATCTCAACACCACACCCCCAGTGAACACCGCCTGCACCGCCCTCGGGCTTCCGTCCTTCCACTTCCACCTCATTCCTTTCCCTCGCTCGCCCCATCACACCCCCGGCTTCGCTGTTGCCCTATTTCCCTATTTACCTCACTTACCTCGTACACGCCATCCGACTTTTCTCGTTCATCCTCAGAAACAAGAAAATCAAAATACTCTGCCGTCTCCTCGTTGGTTCCAGCGCACTGAGGACACGCCTACGAGATTGCCTGGCCTGAGATGGCCCCTCAACGCTATGAAGCCGTATGTCATTCTCTACGATCGCGCCCAGGATGGCCAATCTTATCACTAACACTCTTCAGCTAAATTCGCACGACGACGATATCGATTCTCCTGTCTCTCCAGACACTCCCCGACCCATTCCGTCCTCTCCTCCGCCTTCGTTCAGGTCTAGAGCTTCTTCACCCACATCCAGGCGCCTATTGGCGCAGGATCCGTTATCTACCCAGGCCGACCAAGATCATCTGGAAGACACATTTGACGATGGCGAGGGTTCTGATACCGAGAATGACGGCGACGACAGGCAACGATTGATGAGAGCCGACACTGGGCTCTCGAGACAAGATGCTTCTCCCTCGTCAACCTCGGTTCCCGACACTCGACCGGCGCCTACTATTGAACGAAGAGTGACGGAACTCCCCGTTTTCAGACCTATGCCCGCGTCCATGAGAGCCACGGATGGCGTGTTCGCAAATTTATCCGCAAAGCCTGAACGTGGTGACCAGGTCGAAGAAAAGCCTCCTGTATGTATCTGCGTGCAAACCCCTTTCCACATAACGACACTGACGATTGATAGACGTATGAACAAGCCGCCGCTGACGCGACGCCTCCTTACTGGGAGACTACTATTCTTGCACCTGGAATGTCCTCAGACGAAGTCTATGTCGATGGTCTACCCGTTGGGTCCGTTTTCTCATTCGTGTGGAATGGCATGATCTCTATGTCCTTCCAGCTCGTCGGCTTCCTGCTCACATATCTTCTTCACACCACCCATGCCGCCAAACACGGGAGTCGCGCCGGCCTAGGGCTGACACTTGTACAATACGGTTTCTATATGAGCGGTTCTAGCGATGGCCCATCTGACACTGGGAATCCGGGACAGTTCTCAAACTCCAGCCCGCCCGACCCGAACAGTCACAGTTTTGATCCCAACGCCGTGAATGGGGCCGGAGATCAGTCATCGGGAGGAAGTAGTGGGATGGGCGGTTTCACCAGCGCCGATTGGATTTCCTACATTCTCATGATTATTGGTTGGTTTATTTTGATCCGTGCTGTATCAGACTTTTTGCGGGCAAGAAGGCACGAGGCCCTCGTTTTGCAGAGTCCCACTCGAGGATTGCCTGTTCCAGTCGTCGCGGAGGGTGAAACTCCTGAACAGACCGCCTAAGACATGTATTAGAAGCATCTTGTTACGAGAGGGTTTTTGGGCTTCCTCTCCTTGGACGAACGCACCCCTGCCTTGATGTGTCTTGCGTAAATATAAAATGCATGCTTGTGAAATGAACTGAGCAACGGTTATTCTCTCCCACGAATGACCTTGTTTCAAGAGTGCTCATTTCATTCATCTAGGGAAGTGTCTCGAACAGGAGAAGGATTTCTAGTACACAGAAAGATTGAAGTCAATCTAGCTTGAACATGCCTTGTTCTCCGTGACATTCTGGGTATCCTATTTCATCCCGGAACAGGCTCTTTCCCAGGTGTGCATTCTCCGTTTCCGTCTTTGAAATTCTGTCTGCTTGCTTGCTACCTCCGTCGACATATTCTATCTCTTTCGCTTCTGATTTCAATTGCCCATGCACCTTTTTTCAAGCTCACAACGAGATCGTGCCAAGGGGGTCACAAAGAAACATTTCACCAACATCATGCATTGCATTTGACTGCTTCGTCTTCCTGGTGAGCAAGCGAACTATTCGCCCATGTCGATTTTGTTCTCGAGGCTCCTTGAGTCCCGCAGCTTGATGAGTCTCTCCAGCGCCTTCTCGAGAGGGATCAATTCGCCCATCTTCTGTGTGGAGGGGTCGTCTCGGTTTCGGATGTTCACGGTGCGGGTATCCCGTTCTTTCGCGCCGACGACTAAGTATAGAAGTTAGCGACGAACACAGCAAATAGGGGGAAGGAGAAAAGGAGGCGTTCGAAGGCTGGGTGAGGAAATACTTACCAAAGATGAAGTTGTACTGCGCCAGCTGCCCGTTCCGGATCTTCTTCTGCATCGTATTTCCACCCACATCGATGTCCACGTACATACGCGCCTTGTGGAATATCGTTTGAATCTCTCGCACGTAATCCTCGGCGGCTTTCATAACCGGGATCACCAGAATCTGGCGCGGGGAGATCCAGAACGGCCATTTCCCCGCAAAATGTTCGCAGAGGATGGCGATGAAGCGTTCGAAAGAACCGATGATGGCGCGGTGGATCATCACGGGGCGGGCCATTCCCGGACCTGGTGCCTTTGGATCACGCTCGCGGTGTTCCTCGGATTGCTGCGCGACCAGCTCGCCAGATTCACTGGTTCGATATTCGAGTCTGAAATTCTGGGGACCCTGGAAATCCAACTGGATAGTTGCGCACTGGTACTCCCTCTTCAACGCATCAGAAATCGTGACGTCAATCTTTGGACCGTAGAAGGCGCCATCCCCCTCGTTCATCTCCCAGTCGTCGCCTCGGAAGTTTATGAGCGCTTGCTTCAAGCGAGCTTCAGCGGCGTTCCAGTCCTCCAACGTACCCATATATCCTTCGGGCCGCGTGGAGAACTTCAACTTGAAGGGAAACCCGAAGAGACCATAGACGTGAGACATGAAGTCAAACAAGCCCTCGATTTCCGACTGGACCTGGTCGCTGGTGCAGAAGATGTGGGTATCGTCTTGCTGAAACTTCCGCACGCGGGTGAGCCCAGAGAGTGCGCCGGATGCCTCGTTGCGATGAAGCACGCCGAAGTCGGCCACGCGCCAAGGCAAGTCGCGATAGGAGCGCTCTTCATCGCGGAACATGACGCAGTGGCCCGGACAGTTCATCGGTTTCAGGGCGAAGATGCCCTTGTCTTTATCCTTGATTTCTGCGAGAGGGGTCTTGCCGTCCGGTTGCTTGTCACTCAAGGGCATGAGGTCGGCAGAGTCATCTTTCACTTGAACGCGGAACATGTCATCTTGGTAATGTTGCCAATGGCCTGAGGTTTTCCATAGGTCTACATTGTACATGTTGGGGGACTGGACTTCCTGATAGCCACGTTCCCAGTATTGGTCACGAAGCATTTGTTGAAGCGCATTGAAGATGCGCGTCCCATGCGGAAGTAAGAATGGTGAACCAGGGGAAACTTTACTGAACATGAAGAGCTTTTGCTGTTGACCAATGACCTGATGATCACGCTTCTTGGCCTCCTCGAGGAAATTCTCCCAGTCTTTAAGTTGCTGTTTCGAGGGAAATGCGACGCCGTGGATGCGCTGAAGGGAGTCGTTGTTCTGGTCGCCGAGAAAGTATGCGGAGCTGTTCTTCATGATCTTGAAGGACTCGATTTTGCGGGTGTTCTGGATGTGCGGGCCCTGGCATAAGTCCACCAATGTCCCATTGCGATATACGGTGGAGGATTCCCCGTCGGGCACAAACTTCTCAATGTAGTGCATCTTATATTTGCTGTAGCCAAACATTTTGCGTAGATTGTCCTTGGAAACCTCGAGGCGTTCAAAGGCTTGTTTGTCCTTTGCAAACTTCTTTGCGCGATTCTCCAGCGAGGGCCACTCGGCCTCACGAACGGCTTTGCCCGGCTCGAGCGCCATGTCGTAGAAGAAACCCATGGGCGTGGGAGGGCCGTGGGAGAGGCGGCAGCCGTACTCATGCTCGGCACATTCGCCGAGCACGTGTGCTGAAGAGTGCCAAAAGACATCACGGCCTTCGGGGTCATCGAAAGTGAGGTACGAGACTTTGCTGTCCTTTTCCAGAGGCCTGTCTAGATCCCAGAGTTGGTCGTCAACTTTGGCCACCACCACCTGGCCGGCTCGTTCCTTGGGCAAATTCTTCAATAAGTGACCAGGCGTGGTCTCCCAGGCCTTGCCTTCGACAGTGGTTTCCTGGCCCGGTGCGGGAGCGAGTTTGATTTCAATTGGAGGCTTATCCCTGCTGGCGAGTTCTTGGTCACGCTGCTTCTTCAACTGGTCAAACAGTTCATTCCTCTCCAAAATGAAGTCCGGCAGCGCTTTGGGGGCTTGATGAGCCGCAGGCACGGCCGCTTCAGTAGACATTTCTTTCTGTCTGCCGGGCATTTTCTTGCTGGATGTTGGGCTGGCTGGCTTCTTCAATGCGGTGGTCTCAGGGGCGGATGAGTCAGGGCCAGCAGAGCCGTTCTGAGTCATATTGTCGGCCTTCAGAACCCCCCAGAGGTCGTGAGGATTGAGGCTGGCTTTCTTCTGGTGGCTCATGCTGAGAGATCTGAGTGGAGAGGTATGGGGATTGAATATTATACCACCACAGTGGCCGGAGTGGGTATGCGAACGGCTGGCAGTGAGTAAAAATGAGGTGTCAGTCACGTGCTTGCGGACAAGCGCTCTAAACATGGAGATGCAGCAGCGGACGCAGATGCAGCAAAATTATTTTCCCCAAGATTCAAGGACAAGTCTGCGCCTAGCCACAACTCCCTCTGTCCACAACAACGATGGCCTTCCGAGGTGATGCGCGAGGACGTGGCGGATTCCGAGGTGGTGATAGAGGAAGAGGATCATTTGGTGGAAGAGGTGGAGGTAAAATTATATCCCCCCCCTCAGGACCTCGAAATTGCGCGCACTTTCCCTGTAGCGGCGAAATGTGACTGACGGGCGGTGGTGAACAGGGCGAGGTAGCTTTCAACAACAGAGCTTTGGACCGCCTGCCCAAGTGTTCGGTAAGGCCTAAATGTGAATGCGACTTGGTTGAGACTAATTTGCTGCAGAAATGGGCACGTTCATGCACGCCACCGAGGGTGAGATGGTCTGCGAGTCCATCAACGCAAAGATACCCTTTTTCAACGCCCCCATATACCTCGAGAACAAGGTACGGACATCTTCCCCGACTTGTCCGTGCCACTTCTGACTGGCACAGACTACCATAGGAAAGGTGGACGAGATCCTCGGTCCCATCAACCAAGTCTACTTCACGATCAAGCCGCAGGAGGGCATTCAGGCTACGTCGTTCAAGAAGGGTGACAAGTTCTACATTGGAGGAGACAAGCTACTACCCTTGGAGAAGTAGGTCTAATATATCTCTCGGAAAGGGGAAGAGCGCTAAGAGCTGACCGACAGATTCTTGCCCAAACCCAAACCGCCGCCAGGTCAGTCACTCTCAGAGTTGCCGTCCACACATGTTGCTTACACTCGTGACAGGTGCGGCAAAAGTCAGGAAGCCAGCAGGAGCACAAGGAGGGATGAGAGGGGCAAGAGGAGGTGGCCGGGGACGAGGTGCACCTGGCCGGGGGGCGCCCAGAGGCAGAGGATCTTTCGGCGGTGGTGGTCGAGGTGCTCCCAGAGGGGGAGGTCGTGGAGGAGCTCCAGGCGGACGAGGTGCTTCACGAGGTGGCGGATTTGGCTCAAGAGGCCGCGGCAGATGGTGAAGCACGGTTTGACCTGGGGAATGTCTACCTCTGTTTCAGCATAGTACTGGCGTTGGGAAGGATGGCGGTCATAAAAGTGTGGTCAGAAATGATCTGGGACTGGAGATGGCTGGCGGCTGGCACCGATAGAGATGGTATTGTCTATTGGTCTCTTCTGTTTGACCCAGTGAAGCCCAAATGTAGGCCTCTGAGAGATGCTCGTCTGCGAGATAAATGCCTCGAATCTTGCAGTGTGGCTTCTCTGTGCCTGGCACGTGACGGTCCTTTTTTCTTCGCTGGTAGTGACGGCGCCTCCGAAGCTGCAGAATGACGACACCAGCCGCACAGCCTGAAGTTTGACTGACGGAGCAAACGGACTGCGGCCACGCTGCTCATGGTCACTGCTTGACTGGTGAGGCTGCCTTGCTTTCTCAAAAGTCCAAAATCCCAAATCCCAAATCCCAACCGCGTCCTCGTGCTCTACTACTAAATCCTGTTCCTTCGCCGCCGTGTCGTCTTCCCATTCTCTTACCACTCTCTTACTCTATTCTAGACCACCGATCTCTGGATTTTCTTTTCCGCCTCTTATTCCGTCGAAACACCACAGCCATGTCGCGGCGAGCGGGGTCCACCAATGGCGGCGAGAAAGACACTCCTGCGCAACCGCGGGATAGTGCTCAATCGAAGCAAGCAATGCTGTTATCTCAAGACACAGGGCACTTCAGTTTGATCAGGTGCGCTCGCCGGCACCTTCGGCTGTGCGCGAGACTGATCGCTGGATAGGGCACTTCATCTTGCTGATCTGATCACTGAACTGAATGGTGAGCCCCTCACACGGCGAGATACAAGATACACTTGCTAATGCTTGGCCCAGGATTCTGCGGATGTACGTCCCGTGTCACCGGATTTTCGAGTTGTGCTGACCTTTTTCAGTCATGTCAATTCTCTCCTCAATGCGGTATTGTCTCGCCGACCCGAGCGATCTCGCAAACCTATGGCTCGCCTTTGCTTTAATGCCATTTGGACTATTCTTCGACTTTTTAGATGGCAAGGTGGCGCGGTGGAGGGAGAAGTCGTCCTTGATGGGCCAAGAGTTGGATTCGCTTGCAGATTTGGTATGCCCGGAAACCACACCTCAGTTTGGTTGCGTGACTCTAACGAGCGTCTGCAGGTCACATTTGGTGTCGCTGCCGCCGTCGCCGGGTTCGCCATGGGATTCCGTACCGCCGTCGACCAACTCTTCCTGGGATTCTACGTCCTTTGTGGATTGACGAGACTAGCAAGGTTCAATGTGACTGTCGCAATGCTGCCCAAGGACAAGTCTGGTAAATCGAAGTACTTTGAAGGCACTCCCATCCCCCTCGCTTGCCTGATAAGCTTGACAATGATGACCACCTGCACTTGGTTTGGTTGGATCCATGAGGATCTCCCTCTCGGGACTGTTCTCAGTGGGACCGAGCTCGAGTTTCATCCCGTTGTGGTGATCTTTCTCATCAATGGATTGCTCATGACCAGCAGAACGTTACATGTCCCGAAACCGTAACGGGTTGTTGGACGATGCTGCTCGAACGAACGACATACATGAAGTGGTTATGGGAGATCATGGGCTGGACTGGACTCCGCGGCAAAAATCTCCAGCTTCTGTTGAGCATGTGGCAATGGCATGGCGTGGGCTCGTGGTTTGCGAATAGCACACAGTGAGGAGTCCACAGCAGTTACTGGCTCTCCTTCACGCTGCTGCCGGAGTATATGCTACATTCTCATTAGTCCTTGATAGTGGAATTTGCGACCCTGCAGTGGCAGACTGTTGGCAGTTCCGTCGACTTCCCTCAGCTTCTCATCCTGATTCCGGAGGGACGAGCCAACTGCGCTGATACAGCGAACAACAGAATTATTCTGGGTGCATCCAAGCTTCGTCTCTCTTCACCGTCGGCGGCGCTGCGTGGAGTGCCCGAAACTCGCCGGCTGACTCGGTACGATGAGCATGTAGCACCAAAGCGTTGTCAGATTCTGCTCATATCCCTGGGTCATATGCTCTAAGGCGAGCCCTAGAAGCACGCAGTCAGAACTAATTATTAACATATCGTTCCTCCAGCCCAAATCTCTTGAAGTGAGTGTTCCCCAATCACTTTCGAAGTTGTCGGTGGCGTAAGAATGTGTTCGCAACAACCCCTGGTTCACTAGCATTGGTGGCACTGCTTGTACTCTTATGGTAGCACCTTGTAAACAGAAAACAAATGGAACCAAGACGCCTTACAAAAACATCCTCTACCGAATCGATCTAAAATCGACGCCCTCCAAACTTCGACCGCTCAATCCCCTTGAGCGTCTGTATCCTTCTCAAACTCCTCATGCCCTGCATGGAGAACAACGCACTCAGGACCACGCAAGCACCCGTGATCCAGAAGAATCCATACGGGGCCTCCTCCAGGTAATTCAAAAGATTCATGCCGAACAATCCTGCGGCCATGGTGCCCGCAGCGAGTCCCAAAGTGTGGATGGCAATCCTCGCCTCGAGGAACATGATTTGGTTTCTCTGCACCGCCAGCGAGGAGCGGAATGTATTCTCCTTCTTGCGCAAAATGTCGATGGCCGCCTGCGCGGATTCGACCAGCGTATCGGCAGCTTGGTGGTACGCTTCAAGCATGTACTCGGCCTCTTGATGGTCCGAGATCGCGTGCGGTTTCCCAGCCAGTCGGTCGGAGAGATACATCCCTGCCAAATCTTCATCTGTATCGAGCACCTCGCGGATCGTGTCCCGCACGAGCCTAGCTCTCTGCTCGATCTTGGTCAGCCGGCGAGTGCGGTCGAAGACGAGGTTCAAGCCAACAGCAGCGAGGCCCGAATCGAGTCTCAGGCTCGCTGTGGATTCTTCTGCTTTCTGACGTGCGTCAAGAAGATCGTCGCGAAGTCCAGAGAGGACTGCCACTAGCGCGGCTTCCACAGCGCGCAACTCGTAGGGGAGTTCGGGCACGTCGGCTGCTTCAATGGTGGGACCCGACATGCGGCGCTCGAATTCACGATAGAATTCGCCTTCGTCTTTCCTCGGAGACTCGTTGTCGTCGTCGCTGTCACTACTGGCTTGTGGCTGGTTGTAGATCAGGAGTGCTTCATCCGCTTGGATGATCATACATAACTGGAAGAATTGCAGCAAGATGGTGGTTGGTCTCACCAAGATGCGCGTGACGGCTTCGGACTTGAGATCGATGTCCCGTAGATCGCGGTGGCGGAGGTCGAATTGCTCAGCAATCTCGGTCTTTGTGAGGAATTTGTGCTCGTGTTTGAAATGGCCAGATCTGTCGAAATAGATACAGGTGATTCTGCCATTTTTGGTGTTCAAGTGAGAATCCGGTGCATCGAGTGCGGCGTTCACAAGCTCGGTGTCGGAGGGAGTTCTTTGCGTTGATGACGGCCGTTTCCCAAAGACAGGTATGACATCGCAAGCATATTGCGTCCCTGATCTTTGCACATGCCGAAATCCGGGGGCCCCGGTTGAAAGGCGAGATCTGCTTGGCAGGACTAGAAGTGGGCGAGGTCGAAGCCCGTAACGCTCAACCGGCCGAAGCGTGAGCGAGCTCGGGATCCCGAACGTGGTCCAGAGTCTCATAATTTTTCCATTTGTTTCATTACTGAAAACTCTGATCTGCCATTATTTACCTCTACCCCCGGGCAGAGTCATCGGTGGGCTGAAGCTGGAGCGTGCGGAGGACCGACTACAGTCGATTTGATGGTGGATGACAGACGATCGACTACGTAGATCAAAAAGCGCAGCCTCGTTGATTATCAAACGGCACAGCCTTGCGATGACGAGGCTGAGCGTGACGTCATGCATTCAAGTAACTGCGTGGAGCGACCCAAATACTTCCAACGTGATTAAGCCCCAAACCAACAAAAGGAGAAACAATTCAAGGGGCCTCTGTAGCTAAGATCATACCATGAAGTGCACACTGCCTGGTGACTTCGTCAAATCCAGGGGGCATCATTTCACAACGTGAGGTCATAAATGCTTGTCTCCGATATATTTGCGCAGAGGTCTCGTCAATGCAAAGCGATCTCTTCATAGCCGGAAATCTCAAGATAACCAGAACAAGAGCGATGCTACAAACAGGTTGGAGGAGGAATGTACAGATACCATAGAATCAACAAGGACACCCCTTCGCACTGTGAAGTCATTGTCGTCCAACTGGTCCATCATCTGGATCACAATCTGAATAGAAGAAACTCATCTGGATGCGAGTGCCTTTCTTCAACCCTGAAACCACTGGCCAAAGAACCGGCAGCAATCAGCAAGAATGACATCCGGCCGTTCCAACGCAGCAAAATGACCGCCATCATCGCACTCTGCAGGGTTGTAAGATCACAAACAGCTCTTCCAAGCACAGGTAGCTGGAGGAACGTACCATTATAGAACACCAGTCGCCCTGTCTTCCCCACACTCCTCTCGGTCCCGGGCCTCGTATCGTAAAGAGAGCTGGTGTATCCCATGGGCACCCCGATGTAGTTTTCCTGCTTCAAGAAGAAGTTCCCAAAATCTGCATGCTTGACGCCTTCGAAATACGGCAGGGTCGAAGACATGATGCAATCTGTGAAATAGTACAGGGAACATGTGGTGAGGATTGCTTGGTCCCATTCCGCATTCGGAGTCTCGACTATTGCGGGCGCCACGGCTTCGACGTACTTCTCGCCAACCCAGGCGAGTATGCCGACTGGGTTGTCATTCAGAGCGACACCAATAGATTGAGGGCGGGTTCGCATGCAGACGGCGTATCCGAGATGGTTATCCAACCAATCATGGTACCTCTCTTTAATTTTCATTTCGCGGGGTGTGAGGTCTGCGATGCTGTCGTCCAGCTCCACTGGACAAAAATTAAGGTGCACTGCTTTACACTCTGTAAACTTGGCGCCCATCTCGCGGGCGACGAATGATCCCCAATCGCCTGCCTGCACAACATAATATGCATACCCAAGCTGACGCATGAGTTTGTTGAAGACTCGGGCTGTGTCTTGCATAGTCCAACCTC